AACACTACTACAAGAAACTATGAGACCTACATAAATGGAAGAATACACCATACTCATGAATAGGAAGGCTTAACATTATGAAAATGTCAATACTACCCAAAGCCATCTACAAGTACAATGCAATCCCAATCTAGATACCATTATCATTCTTTAAGGAGATGGAAAAACTATTCAACAACTTTATATGGAAAGGAAAGGAAAGCATTACTAAAGAACAACAAAGTAGAATAACTCACACTTCCTGATCTCAAAACCTCCTGTAAAGCCACAATTGTCAAAACACCCCAACTCATAGTGACCCCTCCTTGGGTTTCCAAGGCAGTATCACTACAGAAGTAGATTGCCCAACCTTCCTTCCTAGGAGTGGCTGGTGGGTTTGAACCGTCAGCCTCTGGTTAGCAGCCAAGTGCCTTAGGCACTATGCTACCAGAGTTCCTCATTAGCCATTAGAGAGATGCAAATGAAAATAACAATGAGATATCATTTCACCCTAGCATTAATAACAAAGTTCAAAAAGCAGAAAACAACAAATCCTAGTGAGAATATAAGGAGACTGGAACCCTCATACACTTCTGATGGAAATCTAAAATGGTACAACCACTGTAGAAAACGTTATGCGATTCCTTAAAAACATGGAAAGAGAAATATCATAAGATCCAACAATTCCACTCCTATGTGTATATCCTAGAAAAATAAGAGCTGCAACACAAACAAGTATATGCACATCCATGTTCATCACAGCATCAAATACAATAGCAAAAAGATGCAAACAACTTAAGTACCTATCAACGGATGAATGTATAAACAAACTATTGTATATGGACACCTGGAATATTAAACAATATTAATGAACAATGATAAATCTGAGAAGCACCTTGTAACAAGGATGAACTTAGAGGACATTATGCTGAGTGAAAGTAATCAATCACAAAAGGACAAATATTGTATGAGACATTACTGTAAAAGTTAAAAAAAAAAAAAAAAAAAGATTTACCCAAAGAAAGAAACGTACTTTCAAGGTTACCAGGTGTGAGGCTAAATCACTAACTACAGGGTAGACATGTATGAAGTTGGGTGAAGGGAAATGCACTATATAATAAGGGGGAGGTCAGCATAAAATGATCAGTGCAGAGGAAGACACTGGGAAGATCTGAACAGAGGCTGAACAGAGGTGGGAAAGTGAATGGGACAACATACAGGGAGATACACACACACACATGTTTGACAGAGTAAATTCTACATATATATTTATATGTGGTACAAATATATCCATGAGTATAGTAGAGCATACAGGAGCACAGTTACGAAAACTTCTTAGTCATTACCAATACCTTGAGGGAATAAGTCACTGTGCATGAGGATCAGAACCATACTCTCAGGGGACACTAAGGTCAACTGCCATAACATAGCCCAAAAAGAGAATTGCTACATTCTACTTTGGTAAGTAGGGATTGGGCTTTAAAAGCATGTGAGTGGGTATCTAAATTGCAACTTGGTTGAAAGACACAAGGAAACAATATGTCCAAAGGACTAATGAACCCAGTGAACCCCATTCTCCAATATCCTGAAACCAGAAGAACCAGATGGTATGTGGCTACTCCTGCTGACCACTCTGAAATGATCACACAATAGGAGATCCTGCATAGAGTGGGAGAAAAATGTAGAAGAACACACAAAATCATAAAAAAGACCAGGCTTAGTGGTCTGACAATGACTGATAGAACCCTCTAGACTGTGGCACTTAGACAACCTTCAAGCCTGAAACTGAATTCACCCTTGTGGCTCAACTTTCAGCCAAATGTTAGGTCTATTAGGTGAACAACACTAGGGAGGTACACACTCATTAGAACAATCAAACATATGAGACCAAAAGGTCAGCAGTTGCCCAGGGATAAAGCTAAAAAGAAAGAAGGATGAATGGAAAGTATAAATACAAGAACAAAGTGGGAAGAGTACTTTTTATTGTGAAGATTACAATGTGTAATCAAGAGAAATCATCACAAAACAAAGTGTGTACGAATTGTTGAATGGAAAACCGATTTGCTCTCTAAACTTATATGCAAATCAAAATAATATTAATAAGTTATTGTAGCAGGATTCTTTGCAGAAATTGACAAAATGATTCTGAAATATTTTTTATGGAGGGGGAAAAGATGCAAAATAGTGAAAATAATTTTGAAAAAATCTAAGTTGGAAGTTACAGTACTTGATCAAGATAGTGTACCATTAGGTAAAGAATAGATGCATAGCTCAATAAAACAGAAAAGTCCTTATGACCGATTGATTTTTGACACAAAATAGCAAGACAAAGCAACGGAGAAACAATAATCTTTTCAACAAACAGTGCTGAAACAACTGCTTATTACATCTGAAAAAAGGATCCACAACCCATATCTTGCACATATATATAAATTACCTTAAAATGATCATAGACCCACATGTAATACTTAAAACTATAAATTCTTTAGAAGAAAAGATAGGAGACAATCTTTGTGAACTTGGGTTAGGCAGATTTCTTTGATATGACACTGTGGTAGTTAAGTTGTATGTCAACTTGGCTGGGCCTGGTTTGAGTGGCTGGGCAGCTGGCTATAGTGATTCCCCATGATGAGACTAGTAATGAACTCCAAGGTGCAATCTGCTGGAGCAGCTGAGTAGCTTCCTTAGGGACAGAGGCTGCTTGCAGCATATAAAGAGAAGCACTGAGGACATTCTCTAGCTCTTTGGCATGCTTAGATCCTGCATTTGGCCGACTCATCAGTGAGTAGCCTGCCAGTTTTGGGACTATATTTAGACTTGAACTAGTGGTCTGCTGTGTTGTTTGATAATCTTGGGACTGTACCATGTTACTTGTCTTGCTAGGTTTGTCAGCCTCAGCAGCCAACAGCTGCCTGAGTTAAGAGAAGCCTCTAGCTTCAGGGGGCCAGGAGCAAGAGGCAAAGCTGACGCCCTGGGTCCAGAAGCCTTCACCCAACCCCTAGAACCAGTATTTTGAATTCAGATTTCTAACCTCCTAAACTGTAAGAGAATAAATCCCTTTTGGTTATCACCATCTCCCTATGGTGTCTTCTGTTAGAGTTGCACTAGGTAAGCAAAACAGATACTAAATGCATAATTCATAAAATGTAAACCAGGTTTAATCAAAATTTAAATCTTCTGCTCTTTGAAAGACACTGTTAATAGAATATAAAAATAAGTCTTAGATTGGGAGAAAATATTTGCAAATTACATATTAACAAAGGACTTGTGTCCAGAATATATAAAGAACTAACAAAGTTCAATAATAAGAAAACAAACCCAATTCCAAATGAGCAAAAGATTAGGACACATCACCAAAGAAGATATACACAGAGGGCAAAAAAGCACATAAATAGATTATCAACATCATTCATCATCAGGGAAA